CCCACACAGGGCTTTCTCAAGAGGAAAGGTTGAAGCAGGTCTTTTCTCCTGTTGCCTTGGCCATACATCCAGTGGTTTGGCCCACAAAGCTGACCAAACTTCTAGTAACTACCTAAAGGCACATTCACAAGCCATCTGCACTTTGGTTTCAGGCCTTTCAGCCCAATGGGAGATCAAAGTAACTGCAGATGAGTCACATTTACAGTAACTAGATGAACCCCATCATGAAGCACTTCTTTCGCCTTGCCAGTTGCAACATGCTCTGCACCCACAAGCGTTAGCATTGCCCTTTAACTTGCAAGATCTGTGGCCCAGGACCTGGACAAACATGCAGTTTCCACAGCCAGACACAGCTTTAACTGCTCTCTTCTCCCTGTCTGAAAAGGGCTGCACCTCCAAAACTCAGCATAAGACCTTCATGTCCAAACTGCCCTCAACCATTTTCAGGATTGAGTTAGACAAAAATAGACATAGCTGCAAAAATGCTTTTTGTATTATCCTCTAAAGGGAAAGCAGCACTGGGCAATCTGGCAAGTCCAAGTGCAGCAGTTTGGAAAGTGAGGGAGTTTAACGGAGGATGAGTGAATACCTGGGGGGCACCTCATAAGGCTTTCAACAGCTCATTCCCAGGATCCAGCTTGAATAGTGTTCAGAGTCACAGCTGGGCTGCAGAAAGCAAGCAGGAATAGCTTCAGCACTCACTGATGGATTTACTGCTCCCTGCAGGCATTACAGGAGGCTGACCCCAAACTGCAGCTCCTTCTTGCTGAGTTTTCAGCAGGGGGAACAGCCAAAACTCCTGTGGCCACAGGCCTGAGTATGATAAGCCTCTGCTGGGTCAAAGCCCCAGAGTGAGACCTGCCAGCATGGGCTGGGCTTGCAAGCCCTTGAATGCCCAGTACATCCCCTGCTCTCTGGTAACCCCTCGAGAGTGCATCCTCAGGGCTGCTCTCACCACCACGGCCAGTCTGGAGAGTGGCAGGTCAATGAGCAAGTGAAAGGCTAATAAATCTGCTTGTGGAAATCACACCATGAAGGCTGGATTGCTGGGCCATGGAGCTGCTTGCTGGGAGCTGACCACTGCTGTCTGTGCACTGGGGAGGACACACAGATCTCTCTTCCACATTCAGCCAGCAAGGGGGATCACAGACCCTGTCTTGCCTGGGGGCTCATCCTAGGCCTCCTGGTGGGCACAAAGACAGCAGTGTGGGTGTCCAGGGAGGAATCTGGGAGCCAGGCTGAGAGAAGCCCTTTGCAGCTGCAGGTGTTTGCACAATGCAGAGCGTGTTCCAGCTGCACTCACATGCTGCCTGGGATATGGCTTCAGAGCAAGGAGTCATCAATGGGGAACCCTCATTCTGCACTCTTAGAGACTGCTCCACACCAAATGCTAGAAGAAAAAGCAGCAAAATGGAATGGTCAGAACAAAATCCTTCAACCTGGACACCTGTCTAATGAGATTTTCCTGTAGTATGGAGACTGAGGACAGGCTTAGACAAACAGGTCTAATGCTAAAAAACCCGGCACAGGCTGTTTGAGCCATCCTGCTTTGCTCCCAGCCTGCAGGGATTTAGGGTTTCAACTGAAAGGTAAACACAGATGGATAGTGGAGCTACATAACTGTCTAGACCAGAGGAAGCTGCAACCCCTTAAGTGCTCCCAGGTGGTGTTCCCAGCCAGTTCCCATCTCGTACATCAGGTAGGACATGGGGGGCTGCCAAGCTCTGCAAAGCAAATTCTCCTAAGGTGAGAGAGAGGATGAAGGATATACAGCCAAGGTCAAGTGTTGTGCCTGCTGGGTACCTGCCAGTCATAGGGCACCCCAGGGAGTCACAGCCCATGTGCTGCCATTTGCCATGTCCGCAGACCTGACGGCCTTGTGGCTTGGTGTCCAACATGTGGGCTGAGCCCACTTTGAACCCAAGAAGTGGTCAGGTACAATGTAACTTCCATGATATGCAGGCAGTGTTGTGGCATGGGGGGTATCTTGCCGTACGCAATACAGGCAAAGCCCCAGGGTCCGTGGGATGTAAACAGGAATTACCAGCTGCAGGCTTCAACAGCCCTGGCCCCAACTTTTCCCCACACAGCAAACAGGATGCTGAGAGATCCTGCTTCTGCTGAGGATCCTGCTCCTGCAGCTGTGAAGGGAAGGGAGGCACAGTAACCTCCTTGAAAATATGCGTCCCCACCCTCTGAAAGTCTCAGTATCCTGATCTCAGCTGGCAGTGTAGGGGCAGAGCTACCTTTTCACTGGGAAGTTCTTCTCTCCAGAGTCACATTTTGAAAGCTCAGCTGGACCTGGAAGTCTAATCAGACTATGGATCAACTAGGAAGCTTTGGAGAGTGTTGTGTGCATGTGTTCTGCAGCTTGGCCATTTCTGGCACCAGGCAAACTGCTCAGTTGGTATAATAATGGCGTGGTCCAAAAGCCACTAGTCCTATCCACACTGATCCTACACTGAGCCACTGTCACCTAAGAGAGAGTAGTACCCCAGTCTGGGGTGCTGTCATCACCAATAGCTGGAAGCAGACAGCTAGGGAGGCAGGGAACAGACTGAACATAGCAATATTACTGTGAATGTGTTCCCAGACTTTAACGATGCAGCGTATCTGAGGCTACACTAAATAGCCCATCACGGATTTAAAAAAAAATTTTTTTCCTTGTAATCAGTCTCAAGTCCAGACCATCCTGCCCTGGATCTTTTCCAGTTCCAGTTAACTCAAGGCCTTCTGCTGCTCCTCCAATTTACAAAGGGGTGTTGAAAAATAATAATATTAAAATGCAAGCCAACTTGACCAGACCTGGATAAAGTTTCCATCACATTCTTAAAGAGTTGTCTATTGCAATGTAGGAAAAACTAAGTCACAGCCTTGGAGAAGTAGGAAACACCAAGTAAGGTGGCTTTTTCCCACTCAGCAGCTAGGGCAATGTGGGAAGGAAGGCAGTTTCAGCCAGACCATTTTATCTCTGAGACCAGATGGCTTTAAATGCTTCCCCAGAGCTTGGAAAGGGCCAGGCACTGCTTTGAATTGCTTTTCATACTACCTCATTAGTAAGTAAAATGGAAGAAATGAACAATCTATAACTTTGTGGCAACGGGAAACAGCTCTGTTAATCCCATTTCCTTCCCCAAGCTTACTCAGGGCAGGTCATCCAGCATCAGGGCCACATCACCTAATCTGCTTATCATTGCCCCGCAGTCAGGAGCGTGGGCACCAGCTGAAAGGGCAGATGCCTCCTCCTGGGCATTATTAATAAATTAGAAAGGTCCAGGTTGTTAAACCTGCTCCGGTACATAATTGCGACACTCCTGGCACCCAGCTTCTACTTGCTGCTGCAGATCCAAGGAGTGGCCTCCTGAGCTCAGGAGGAGCCAAACAGCACTGACAGGCCCTCATCCATGGCACCCAGCCTCACCATGCCACCCAGTTCCCTACCAGCCCTTTCCCTCTGCCTCCCTCTCCCAGAGGAGAACCATGTCTTCTCACAGAGAACCTCCACTTTGTGTCCAGGTGGAAAGGTGTCCAAATGCAGCCTCCTGAGAGAGTCAGGACTAGAAAGTTTCAGGCTTTTAGCGCTTGTTCCTGGGTCCCACAGCAGAAGGCAGCTTCTGGCAATACATCAGGCAGACAGCATATGGTCTATTGGTTGGACCCACAGCTCCAAGGGTAGTAATGAGTGTCTCGGCACAGAGTCAGTGGCTGGAGTGGGATAAATGTTAAAAAAGTTAATGGAACAGGAAAGGAATCAGCAACCCCTAGCTTAGCTTCTCAGATGAGGAGTGCCGAATTTTAGCAAACTGCTAGCTGCGTACAACAAAACTAGGTGTTCCTGCTCTGGAGCTATGCACAGCTGGCTGTCAGCATTGCTGCCCTGCAGATATGGCTGGGGACATGAGCATCTGGATGAGTCCAACCCACCCTTGCCTTCGAGCTAGACTGAGATCCAGTAACAAGCAGCTCCACAATACATCCCCAAAATCTGTCACCCATAGAGCAGAAGGGCTTCAGGGCAATCGGGGAATAGCTGTGGGACGGGGAGTGGGGAAGGGAGCCGGGAGCAGCTGGTCTAGCACAGACCCACCCAGCCCTGCAGACGGCCAAGGCCACGGAACCAGCAGCGCAAAGATGCCGTGGAGCACAGACGCAGCCAGCCCTCCAGCTCAGCTGGCGTTGCTTATCCCAAATTGATCCACAGAGGATGCTGCCCTCTTCTGGGCCCAGCGTGACTGGCAGAGATTCAGGGAAACTTGAAGAGGCCCAAGACGAGTGCTTTTGGGGGCTCAAATACCCACATAGCGTTTCTCAAATGTGGTGACTTTCCATACCTGTCTCGGTGAACATCCCAGGGACTTTTCCCGCCGAGAACCAGGCTGCTGGGTCTGCGGGTGACCTCTGAGCACAGCATGGAAAGGGAGAAGCAGGGCCAAGCTCAGGAGCCGTCCCTGAAAGACAGGGAGATGGGAACTTCTCCCGGGCCAGCTGCCAACTGTGAGATCTGCTAGCATTTAATCGTAATTAATTATTTTCATAAATCAATTAATTTGATAGCAAAATAAGCTCGCATTCAATTAATGAACTGATTTGTAATAGGGTCCTCTGCCGCCCCATCAGCCCGGGGACGGACGGACGGACCGCCGTCTCTTCCCCGCCCCGCCACCTACGGGGGGACACAGAGGTCGGAGCTCGGCCGCTCCCTGAGGGCTCCCGTGTCCCTGGAAGGCGCTGCCCTCGCCGGCAGGTGCCGACCAGCCCTGCCCGAGCCGAGCCCCGCCTGCCGGCCCCGCCTCCTGGCCGGCCCCTCCCCACGGCCCGGGCAGGGCAGGTCCGCGGGCTGTGCCCGCCGTGCGGGGCTGCGGGAGCGCTTCCCGTCGCGGGATCCCCCTCTCGCCTGCCCCGAGCGGCCCCGCGGCTCCGCTGCCCGGTGAGCCCCGCAGCTCCCCGCGGACCTCGGGCAAGCAGGAGCCCGCCGAGCCCGCCTCGCCCGCCTCCCCAGCATGAGGACGCCGACGGCGATGATCGTGGGACTGGTGCTGTGCCCCTGCGGGCTCCTGCTGACGCTCACGGGCACGCTGGCACCCAGCTGGAGGAAGGTGAGCCTCGTACCTAACCAGCCCATGGACCTCGTCTGGGAGCAGGGCATCTGGGACATATGCAGGGAGCGGCAGAGCACCCATGACCGCCTCTGCGGGCAGGCTGACGAGCTGGGCTACTTTCAGGAGGTACCCGTGCGGGTGGCCCAAGGGCTGATGCCCTCCTCGCTGGTGATCACGCTCCTGGGCTTGGTGGTGGCTGCCCTGGGGGTTCGCTGCTGGCAGGAGGAGCCACGGCACCTGCTGGCTGGAGTGGCAGGGCTGGTGCTGCTTCTCTCGGGGCTGATGAGCCTCGTGCCCGCCTCCTGGTACACCCATGAGCTGTGGGCACTGCCCGCTGTGCCTGGCAGCACGCTGGTTGTAGGCTACAGCTTGGTGCTGAGCTACTTGGGAAGCTGTCTGGAGATCTTGGGGGGGCTGGCCCTTTCCCTCAGCTTCCACCACTGCTGCAAGGAGCGCAGGGCCCCCAAACTGTCCCCCAGCCCTGTGGTGGAGTCTGGGCTGTGCTCCACCATTGGGGCTTACAGCAATCCGTGGGACGTGCTGAAGGATGAGCAAGATGGACAACACTGGAGGAACACTCCACCTTGTGACTCGGACTTGTAGCCCCAGCACTAGGACAGCAGCCACCTGCCTGGCACTGAAAGCAGTGCTGGCTTTTGACCTACAAGCCATGCCCTTCTCCTGGGGCACCTCAAAGCAGCCTGAAAACAAGACCAAGGACCTGTCTTGAATCTCTGCAACTTCCTCAAGTCTGCTGTGCTCCAGGTCCTACAACTGTGCCAAATCCACACTGGGTTGAGGGCTATACATAGCTCTAGTCCCTCCATGCAGCTTTTAACTCATCCTCCTGCACCACGCACAGCAGCTTGGGCAGAGGCAGCTTCACTGTTCCTATCCGAGCAAGGTATAGGCTAGCACCGTGTAACCTTCAGGACTGAGAATAGGGGAGGGGTGCACCTCCCACATGTCTCTGCCCAACTCAGGACTGTGCAAACAGAAAAATAAATGCAAAGGAATGGATCTGTACTGTGGGATGGTTACGGGCTTTCTGCCAGGCAGGCTGGGCTGAGAGCCAGTGGGCACGGCTAACCCAGCCTCCCTGTGCTTTGCCTGAAGTAGGGAGGAAAAGTCTGTAAAAGTTTTATGGCACCTTCCTAAAGGACTTTTTCCCCATGGACAAAATCAACTCTGGGAGAGGTTTCTCCTTTCTTGAGCACAGCCACTTCAGGAGAAAAAAAAAACCAACAAGGGAACACAGAGAAAAAATAGCATATTCAACATTAGCCTGGTATGAGGTGGTAAAACTGGTCTCACTGGTTTGTAAGGGACACTCAGGAGGTCAGAACTGGACTATAAAATCCTGCTCAACACCCTGCATAACATGAGAAGAGCCAAGCCAGCTTCCTTGCAGAGCTATTTGGCCAGATTTCCACCCCAGGCAAGCCCAAAGCACCATGGTCAGCAAGCTAAGCCTTGCTGAAGAGGGACAGTGGCTCATGATGCTCTTAGTGTGGTTATTGGGTTAGTACAGGATGCATCCTGCAACAGGGGATCAGATTCAGGTGGCTCAGAGTGTGTTGGGATTAGAGACTTCCTGATAAACCTCCCAAACCTTTTTCCTCTGGACTTTTAAGTTCCCTAGAGCTTAGACATCGGGAAAGACCAAACCAACCTTCCCTCCCCAGCCCACACACAAAGCACAGTGGCACGGGAGATGCTGCACAACATTCCTTTATGAAAATACAGTGTTGAGGTGAGATGATCCTTTCCTCGCCAGGGCTGGCAGCTCCTGCAGAGATCACAGATGGGTGCGTGAGTGGTGAGTCTGAGCAAGCCTCTCTGAGCCCACCCCACACTTTAGCACAGGGGCTCCAGCCACAGGCAGAGCTGGACAGCCCTTTCAGACACCAGACACCCCAGGTCTTGCCCCTCTCCTCCAGCAGGAGGGCAGAGCTTGCCTCAGGAGTGGGCACCATGCCAGCACTGGGCCTTGGGGCACCCCAGGGTGGCAGGGGGTGTCCCTACCAAGGCCTGCTCCTGTTGTTACTCACCTCTTTCCCATCGTAAGCTTCATTCACAAATGTATCACTCTTGGGGGGAAGCTCTTCCTCCTCCTCCTCATCCTCTTCCTCGGGGTCACTTTCACGGTGGTACAAGGTCAGCACCCTGGTGGAAGCAGTGCTTGAGGTCCTGGAGATGAAAAAACATACACTAAGAATGGCATGGCCATCTCCTAGAGATGGGGCAGATCCTAAGGTCCTGCCACAAGCCCTGCTGATAGCTTGCTGGGGTGATCGAGCTTTCTGTGTAACCCAGGGGTGCATCAGGACACCACACTGTCCCTGGGCAAGGAGAGCCAGTCCCTCTCTATCCCCAGTTATACCTGGCCCAGCCCAACCCCAGAGTTCACCTCCTCCGCCTGTCCCGCCTCCGCATGTAGGCCAGGGCCCCCACAGCAGCAGCAGCGAGCAGGAGGAGCACGGCCACGCCCAGGGCGATGGGTCCTGCAAAGGGCTGCACCTCTGCCTCCTCGCAGTAGTTGCCACGATAGCCCAGGGCGCAGTGGCACCTCACTTGCCCAGCCTCGATGGCGCAGTCCCCGCGCAGGTTGCACGTCTCGCTGCTGCACGGCACAGCCCTCAGCACCTCCTCCGTGCTGGGGGGTACCAGGAAGGGCTCTCCGTGCTCCCGTGGGCCGGGGGCTGCGGGTGAGCTGGGGCTGGGCTGTCGAGGCTGCGGGGCAGTTGTGGGTGAGGCTGGTTTCTGTTCTTCCACGTGGGACATTCCTGATGGTGACACTGCGGGGACCTGCGTCCTCATCTGCCGGGAGGGACCTGGCAGGAGGGGCATAGGTCAGCAAGAGACCCAGGTAAGTCCTCCTTCCCAAACTGGGGGAGACTGGCCAGGCTACCCTGTGCCCCCCCAGGACTGCTGCATGCCCTGGCTGTGGGCAGGCACTCACAGTCAGACTCATCGGAGCCGTCAGCGCAGTCAGGGTGCCCGTCACAGACCTGCTTTCCAGAGATGCAGCTCTGGAAGTCAGGACAGGGCTGGAGTGCAGCAGGGCAGGACACTGCTGGCGCACATGCTGCTCCACGCACCAGGTGGTAACCGGGAGAGCAGCGGCACTGCCGCCCTGCAGGGTTGGGCAGGCAGAGCTGGGCACAGCCCCCGTTGCTCTTTGCACAGGCGTTGGTGCCTGCCAAAACAGCGTGAGTTAGCATGGACACCACTGAGCACGGCTCAGCCCCTCAGAGGCCCTGGGCTGGGACAGCTGCAGACCCACCTTCCTGTGAGAACTGGCTGTAAATCCTCATGGCTACCAAATCCTTCTCCATTGGGAACCACCAGCTCTCGGCCCGTTCCATCCGGCTGTGCCAGATCTTGCTGGATCCTGGAGACACATGGGGTCAGCACTGCTCCACATCCTCCCATAAGAGTGCCCAGGATGAGAGGTGGGGCTCCCCTAACCTGTCCTTCACCCCACAGAGGCGCAGCCTGCACCCCACAGGGACTGGCAGAAACACCTGTGCCCCAATGCAGTAGGAGGAGCTGGACAAAACACAGCAGACAGACCCACCATTGGTTGAGGTTGTGCTCCAGAGCAGAAAGCCTTCTCCTATGGCAAAGAGCGAGAGACCATGCAGCCCTTCCCGCACCACCCGAAAGTGGGATCCATCCAGCTCGACGCTGCTGATGGTACCTCTCTCTGCAGGGCACAGATAGAGCAACATCAGTGTGGAGACACAGAGGGCTGTCTGAGGGTCTGTGCCTTGGGGACCGAGTGCCTGCACCAGTGCTAGCCCCAGCAGTGTCCCGGCTCAGCCCATACTCACCGTGGTCTGCCCAGTACAGCCTGGTGCCAGCAGCCCCAAAGGTGAGGGCAGTGGGAGCCCGGGCTCTCCTCCAGACCGCTCTGCGGCCAGTGCCATCCATGGCTGCACACTCCACTGTGGCACCAGGCCCATGGCTGCCAGCTGCTGTGACAAAGCACATGGTGGAGGCACGAGGGCACAGTGCCAGCCAGGCAGCACCCTGCAGCCCCTCGCTGAGTAGTGCCAGGGCCCATCGCCCCCCAGGAGCTGCCACGTGGATGCTGGGCAGCTGCCCCCCAATCCAGTACAGGTTCCCACTCAGCCAGTCCAAGGCCAGGGATGTCACCGTGCCCTCCACAGCTACTGCCTTCTTCCAGGACAGCCGTCCCCAGTCCTTCAGGCGCAGCAGTCCGATGGAGTTGCCTCCCACCTCTGCAAAGTACAAACTCTTGTCTTTCACTGCGTAGTCGATGGCTGTCAGGTGGCCCACCTTGGCCAAGGGCAGGGTTCGGTGCGGGGAAGCCCTTGGGATCCAGATGTTGTAGGCAGGTCCTTCAGGTAGACCTGGAGGAAGGAGGCAGCACTAAGATGGCGACCCCTCTCCCCTGACAGCAGCTAGGACAGCAGCCCCTAAGGCTGGCTCTGGAGGATGGTACCTGTGCCACAGCTACTGGTGACACCAGGAGGGCAAAGGCTGAATCACGGAGGGGCAGGCAGGTAGTCTCATCGGCAGCCAGCACCAGCCTGGCAGGGCACCGGCACTGCCCAGTGTGCCTGGCGCTCAGCAGGCACAGGTGGGAACAGCCACGTGTCTCGCATGGGTTAGGGGCTGTGGGGCGCAGGGCCGGGTGCATCACCTGTGGGAAGGGCAGGCTCAGCTCACAGCCCTGTCAGCACCCACCGGCTGAGCTGAGCATGATTTACACCATGCCATGCTCCCAAGGCCCACACACAGCCCAGCCCTGGGCAGGATGGTGAGGTAGAGATGTTCCAAGAGGACCAGAGACACTTGGCCACAGGGACTGCTGCCCAAGGACCACCAGGATGGGGGTACAGCTTCCAGTGCCTCCACACTTAGAGGACAACAGGGCCGTGCATGTTAGGAGACCCAGCAGAGCTGGCACAGCAGGGTTTGGGGCTCCCCAGGTAGGTACCTGGAGGCCATGGGGCTGGCCGTGCCGCTTGAGCAGTGTGGTTCTGTTCTTGCCACTGGCCTTGTCCACCTGCTGCACGGACCATGTCTTCCTCTCCGACCAGTAGAGCTGGCCCTCGCACACGGCCGCTGCAAAGGGGCTCCGGACCCAGCCCAGCTTCAGGACCTGTCAGAGAGGCTGTAAGTGCCCGCTCCAGTCCCCATCAGGGCCCCGTCAGCAGTGCCCCACCACACACCTTCACACTGGTGCCATCCAGACGTGCAGAACTGACACTGCCCAGCTTCTCATCCAGCCAGAAGATCCTCTGGGTGGGGAGGTCGAGGGCTAGTGCTGTGGGCCAGCCCAGCCCCCGGGCCAGCAGCACGTGCCGCCGACTCCCATCCATCGTGGACTCCATCAGGCATGGGTGGCTCCCCACCTCTGACCAGTACAGCAGCCTAGTGGGAAGAGAGGTGCTGGCTCGTGGACCGAGACACAGCATCGTCCCAGTACATGGAGGAAAATGGGGCAGGGGAGGGATGGTAAGGAGGTCCCTATGTCCCCTTGTTGCAGATTTACCCTGCCAGAGGCTGGACCACCAGAGAATGGGGCTGGTCCAGGTCTCCATCCATCACCACAGTGTACTCTGGTATCC